AACCTTTAGCGCTTGACTTACCAGTTGGATCCTGGAATGCTGCTGCCGCTCTTCACCACCAGAGAGCAGTAGCCTATAAAAAAGTAATAACATATTTCTGTCCCTTATAGTTCAGATGGAAATCATGACTGCATTTGATTGATTTGCATTATTCAAATTCAGAGTGATGGAGTTGTTTCTTTTCTTTTTCTCAAATTGCTGAACTATTTTTGTTATGCCGTAGACAGCAGTTATTCTACAAGATACTCCTATAGCATTTATGGAGCCTTAGTTGCATCAACTGCGTCGTGATTAATTTTCTTCTCTTTTTCCACAGTAATACTTGGTCTCAGGAACATAAACAGCTTAATATCTTCTTCTCTGTGGGCCTTTTATTCTATTCTCTTTCTCTCCTCATCATCATCTCCTCTTCTTCATCTTTCTCCATATTTCACAATAACGTGAAAAGGCTGTATGAGTACTGTAACAAATGTTCACCTCCAACCAGCCACCATAGCTGACAATAACGGCAGCAAATTGACACTGCCTGCAAGGCTGAAGGCTGAGTGCTTTGTCTGACGTGTGATGGAGTGTGGCAGACTTGTTCCTTATTAGACTCATCACCTCTGTGAAATCACTTGAAATAGAGAGAAAATGTTCCATGATGGACGTGTCTCAAATCCAAACAGCCTGATAAAGTTTCAGGCACAAGCTGTAAACATGTCCTTAATGGCAAAAGGTTCAGCATAGAGGCTGCTCTGCATTTAAATTAAAAGCAAAGGGAAAGGTCTCAGCTATGTCTGGGAAGCACAAGGTTTAGCTAAAGTACAGCTTGTAGACCTGAAAGAGATTCAAAGCAGAGTGCTTTTCAAAAGCCAGAAATGGGAAAAGTGGTCCATTAAAGGAAATACCTTTTCTCACACTATTATATGAAAAATATTCAGATACAACTGATATTTACCCAATTCCCCTCCAAATCAAAATAGCAACCTTGTTCCCCTTGAAAGGCAAACGCCCACAGAAGCACTGTCATCTGTAATGTAAATGAGTGTGAGAGACGTTTCCCCAGTAAACATTTACTAGAATGGCACTTTGTGTAAACTCACACGGTCATTGTGTTGATGATTACAGAGCAGCGCCGGCACTGAGATGCCTGTTTGGAGAAAAGAGTCGAGTCCTCTGAATGCCTACTTTTTCACGACTGTAATATAGGAACAAAGACCGACCAGATGTGATTCTTTGTACGGTATTTACTTCCTTGTGTGAATGTATTTGTGCAGTGGTGAGGGGCTTCACATTACACTTGCTGACCCACACCAAAAGTAATTTCAGGTTGCCTCTGCAATGAGGTAAAATCAGTGCTTTTGCTTTTATGTGTGTGCTTCCCTCAAGAAGTAACTGGTTCTGTGTGGTTATGGAGATATTGAGGACAGAGCGGAGAGTGACAGGAGGCCGGCTCCTTTCATTGATGTTCAGTGTTGAAAGCATGAGAGTAACAGCTGTGTGATGTATATGCAGGAAGAAGTGGTGGAAAAAGCATTCAGATCCGGTACTTAAGTAAAAGTACTGAGAGCGCCATGGTAAAAGAAAAATACAAAGACTTTAAAAATGAAAAGCTTCTTTCAAAATGGTTATTTCAGTGAAAGTACAGGCTTTCAGTGAAACATACTTTATTATTAAAGAAAAAGGTGTACTCATTTTGATAAAATGGCAAACTTCAGAGGGTAATATTACTTTACTGGATTAATATGTAAGCTACATTTTAATGTTATAGCAAGTCAAGTTAAAGCTTATAATAACGCCTTTGCACCGGCCAGGTTAGTTTAAACAATACAACAACATCATATTTTAGGTAAACAAAGCAAACAACTATAGCTGTTAGAATACAGTGAGCAAAAAAGTGTTATTTATATCAGAACATTTGTGAAATAAACTATAACCTAGTATACAATTACACCACTCAATCTGTCACTGTGTGTATGCACATACATTTCCTTTTTTTGCATTATGAGTAAACACATTTGCATAATGTACATTATTCATTGGAGTTATGTTTTTTTATTTTAAAGTTTGAACAGCTGTGATGTTCCCTTAAAGCATGGAGTTCTCCTGTGACAATGAACAGTTAGCTTGAACCCTGATGGACATCTGCCAGAGCTTAATGTGAACTATGAGACACATCAGACGCAGAACACTCCCTCAGAAAAAGCATCCTGCATCCTTCCCCTGTCAAAGCGTTGTCAAAGCATCTCAGATTAAAGCTCCTTCTTGATTCTGTTGGGACAGAGGTGTGTGGGTGGTGTTTGTCTACAAACAAATTTCCTCAACAGAGAAAAGTCACATATTTACAGTGCTCATCATTGCATTCAGAATCTGCATTGCAGTAATTTGCGATTTGTGATGGCTTTGTAACAAAACAAACAATTTACAGATACTTATGTTCACAGGCCAAACAACAAAACTTACCATAAGAATGATACAAACGTAAAATATTGATTGAGATGAATCTACTCTGCCATGCTCCTGTTTCCTGAATAACAATGTGCACTATATTGCTGAATACTCATTTGGCCTTTTATGATGATTGTGGTCCAGCTCATCACAAAATGTCTATTCAAATAAATTAGCTCTTCTGATGGGAATGTTTTTGTCATTTCAGGCATGCACGCCAAGATGTTATGCAAATGCAACAATCTGATGGGTGCCTAACCCTCATACTGCCTAATTGCCTGAACATTTTTGAATCCTTCTCATACTCATATGCTCAATACCCTGAATCTCCATGTGTGGCCTTATCACAGCAGAGCAGCTGCTGGGCGGTAGGCACCCTACATCTTTACCTTATGAATATGTCATAAATCTGAGGCTGGACTTTGGAAAAGTCCCAGCGAGCTTGGCGTGTGATAGAGATTGACTGCCAAAGCCAAAGTTAAAGTGCAAATCATTCAGGTTGGAACAGACACATCAGGGAGTCAAAATAATAGGAATAAACAGGTGCTCATCATGACATCATAATGGAAAAAATGTTTTGTGGGAAACTAAGTTTGGAGCTTCAAGTTCCAGGTGAAAATGTTCACTAGTCTATCATTTTGTTGACCTAATAATGATCTTTACATCCATCCTTTGTTCCTCATCACTCCCTCTGTCTGCCATCCGACTTCAGCATCCAGTTTAATCAGCCAACATCACTTCTCGCAGTGCAGATCTAACACGCATGTATCTGAATCGTTAATCTCATGTACTGTAAAGTCATAACAAGAATGTTTTGGCACATATGTATGACAGCTGGAAAAGCCGGGGGTGCCAGGTACTTGAACTACTTCAAAATAACAAGGCACTGGGAACCCTCTAATCACCTGGCATTTTAAACGTGGGTGGTGTTGAGAACAAAATGCAGTCACAAGCAGTACTTCAAGGTTCAGGCTGTGTGGGGATTTTAAAGACTCAAGGCTGGCAGGTTTAAGAACAGTGTGGACGATTTCAATTATACATATTTGAACCTTATTACCAGTTTGCTGGGGTTTGCAAAATCCTTCAATAGGGTTTGGGCAAATGTATAAAATGTGCCTTGAACTTTTTTATGAACTAAAAAGTTCAGTGATTTGCACAAACTGCTAAATAAACTCACTTTATAATTGATAAATGGTAGCCATGCTTTTTATTGACTACAAAAGTTGCTCAAGCCACTGCAGATCTCTCTCCAGAAATCCTTTTATCAAATACAAAAACATTCAGCAACAATTTGAATGCAAGGGAGAATTGATCACATAAAAAAGCCAGTTTACCGAGCAAATGGAACGGATCGGGTTTATTCTTAAATGGCTTAGCCTTGACAACTTTCCAACTTGCTGTACAAATTTCCCCTGAGGACCACCAAGGACTAGCCTGATAGATTTTCTCCTGTCTCGAGAAGCAGTTTGCAGCATGTTTGGACCCTGTCAGCCAAATGTATTTTTCACATCCCAGCGCTTCTGTTTGTGGCAGTATTTTATTTATTTTTTGCATCATAGTTTACTGATCGACCCTGACAAGAACAGGGTCACTCTTTCTCTAGCTGACTGCAAAGAGAGTAGACTTTTTGCTTTTACACAAGGGAAGGTCCAGAGAACCACATTCAATTGCTAGTTTGCAAAAAGCTAAACATCAAATTAAACAGATGGATGAATGACAGCACAAATAGGAATTTAACAACCTAGACTTTCACTTCTATCAATTATTAACACATAAGCCTTTAGCAGGAAATGTGGAGATAGAATAACTGATGAGGGACATTAGAGAAGACTCATTAGCCAACAATGAGCACACTAATGACAACTTCCCTTTATTTAGGCAATAAAGCCTTCCTTGTCTCCTAATTATTACATGTAATCCATATATAAGCCATATGCAAAGACATAAAGTTAGTGGAGTTTTACACTTTCTTTTTCTTACATACTGTAGCATGAAACAATTGACAACATCTGCAGGCCCCCAAGTCACAATTTGTCTGAATTTCATCAGTGTGTCTGAATGTCCACAGATGACATAATTATATGATCTGAGCACTCATGCAATACTAAATAATATGCAATTTGTCTTCAGGGTAATATTGTCTTTAAACACCTCTACAGTATATCTTGCAGATTAGTCCTAATGGGAGCAATTTAGTAATGTCATGAATCTGTGAAATTCAGCCCATCTCCTAGGCACCACACACCATGTGAATGACAGCTGTACTGCCCATTGACGAAGGAGCTGAGGTAACAAGCCTTCAAAATCCTCCAATATGCGCAGAGGTGGGCGGCAGCTCCCTTACGCAGGCTCTCAAGTGTCTGAAGTTAAAACTCCTGTGCGCTATTCTCGCGGAGCATGTCGAGGGTCCGGACGGATAGATGCACGGGAGTATCCGTGTAGGCATCCAGCTGACTCCCGACACTTCGGGGATTTTTACCTTTTTCCAGTAAAAATAGACCTGGACGTCCTTAACATCACCTTTGCAAAGCGACTGTTTTCGGATGTTTTGGATCTCATCCTTCGCCACGATGATGTTCCACAGACTTCTTCTGTGCTTTTCAGTAACTGGACTTGTTTTCGCGGAGCCCGACAGCTCGGGATTATTTTACGCTCTGAGATCTGAACTGTCAGAAGATGCAATCTTAGTAGCGAACAACGGAATACGTGTGCCTTTCGGGAGATCGATCTTCATTGATCCCATCAATGATCTGGTGATTCAGACGCAGCCGGGAGACCGCTGCAGCATCACCGTCCTGGATAACGACCCACTCTCACAGAGACCGGGACATCTCTCACCCAAAAAGTTTCCGTGTGATTTCGGTCCCAATGAGGTGACATACTCCCACTACGGGTCGAGAAGTCCGGCTAAAGACAGAGTGAGGCTGCAGCTCAGGTATGATGCGCAAACCGAAACCGTTATTATCCCGTTCATGATGGAGGTGGAAGTAGTTTTTACGCAGCTAGAGTTACTCACCAAAAACATGCCTCTTACTGTTGATAACCTCAAAGCGATCAGCAATCCCATTGATAAAAAGATTTTAGAGTTTACTTATGACAGAGACTCTCATAAATGTGAAGTGACGTCCCTGTCAAGTGGCAGCGCTCTGCCTAGATATGGGAAGCTGATTGATGGGGGGAAACTTTCTAAAATGATGGACTGTGATGAATTCACTCAAGCTGACATCCGATATGAGCACACGTTTGACCGCAAATCCCCTAACAGAGATTATGTTCCCATGGTTGTAGAGCTGCACGATAAGGAAGGCAACTTGGTGAAACAGGAGTATTTCCACCTTATGATTCGCATTAAAGAGGGAGAAGAAAACACTCCCCCCAAACCCAGCTTTGTGTCCATGATGATGATGGAGATCAGCCAGTTTGTTATGACCGCCCTCACCCCTGATATGCTCGCTGCTGAAGATGCAGAGTCAGACCCAGATGAGCTTATTTTCAACATCACATCTCCCTTATCCTATGAGGAGGGCTACATAGTCAGCACTGATGACAGAAATCTTCCCATCACATCTTTTTACCAGAGAGACTTGCGTGATCTGAAAATAGCTTACAAGCCCCCCTCCCTGGACTCAGACACTGAGAGGATTTTCCAGCTTGAGTTTGAGGTGGTAGACACAGACGGGGCCATCTCTGACCCCTTTGCTTTTATGATAGTTGTGAAGCCGATGAACTCCTTAGCGCCTGTTGTGACACGTAACACTGGTCAGCTGCTGTACGAGGGGCAGTCTCGTCCTCTCTTCAATGCCCACAACTTGGAGATCAGCGATGAAGACAACCTGGACACTGTCACCATCACAGTGGTGGATGGGCTACGGCACGGGGACCTCATGGTGCTGGGCTCTCAGAGGCAGCTGTTCACACCTGCTGACCTTACAACAGGGGTCGTTGTTTACCAGCACGATGGGAGCGACACATACAGTGACAACATAGTCTTTAAGATGTCAGATGGTAAAAACGAAGTAGAATTCCTTTTCCCCATAACAATCGTTCCCACTGATGACGAGCCACCTATTATAAATGCCAACACCGGCGTGGTGCTATTCAAAAACCAGATGATGCCTATTTCTCCCCTCATGCTCAGCGCTGCAGATATTGACTCTGAGGACTCAACTATTAAATTCACTATTGTCCCTCCCTTTTCTACTATTGGCACAGTGCTCTTAAGGCAGTCAGATGCCCCAGAGGACCCCTCCTCTTGGAAATTTAATGCAGAGGATGAAGTGTATGAGAAAGAGGTGCCAGAGTGGCTTCAGAAAGATATCACTGATGGGAAGTTGTTTTACAAGCACACTGGCCCTCACAACACATACACCGTTATGGATCAGTTTGTGTTTAAAGTTCAGGATGACAATGACCCCCCTAATGAGTCAGGGGAGAGTGTATTTATAATCCGGGTTTTACCCATAGATGACGTCCCCCCTGAGCTGTTCCCTGGCACCACACTGCAGATGACCGTACAGGAGTACAAGATCACTCATTTCAACAAAGATGTTCTGCGCTACACCGATTTGGACTCTGAGGATCGTGACCTCAAATATACAGTTATCCAGCCCCCAGTAGATACAGATGAAAATAACCCAGTTGTGTTCGGTTCTTTGGTTCTGACGGACAGCCCTGACACTGAAGTTACTGAGTTCACACAAGCCCAAATTAATCATCATAAGATTTCATACGGCCCCCCTGATATTGAGCTTGGAATAACAGCCCACGTTGTACAGTTTCGTTACACTGTTGAAGACACGGCTGGGAACAGCGTAGAAGGAACTTTCACTATCTACCTCCAGCCCGTAAACAACAAACCCCCAGAGATTACAAACACAGGCTTTACTGTGTCTGAACGTGGTATTCACATCATCAGTATTGCAGAGCTGGACACCACAGACCTCGACACAGACAGCAAAGACATCACCTTTACTCTTAGCCAGCCCCCTAAACACGGCCAAGTACAGGTTGCATTCACTGACCTAGAGAAAAAAGAGCTTTTCAGACTTGAAGATATCTCAGAGGGGAAGATATCATACATTCATGGCGGGGAGGAGACGACGAGCGATGAATTTCAGCTGGATGTCAGTGATGGGTTTCATGTTGTAACCGTGACGGTCAAAGTTAACGTAAGGCCTGTCGATGATGAAACTCCCAGCATCAGCCTGCCTGCGGGAACAATTGGCTCTCATATAGATGTGCTGGAAAACGGAGCCACAGAAATCACAACTAATGTAATTCAAGGCCGTGATGATGACACAGATGACCTCCAGCTGACCTTTATTGTGGAAGATCCTCCAATTATGGGTGAAATATTGGTTAAAGGAGTGCCTGCCAGTAGGTTTACACAAGCTGATATTATTAATGGTGTGGTTGTGTATGCACACACCAGTGGTGAAGTAGGTCTCTCCTCTCAGCTGGATGGCTTTAATTTGACTCTCACAGACATGTCTGATGATTGGACAGTGGGTGGCAATAAGGTCAACGGAGTTCAGGTCCGAGTCACTATCCTTCCCGTTGACAGCCAAGCCCCTGAGGTCGGAGTCGGAATTCAATTCAGTGTCATTGAAGGGGAGAAATATGCTATAGGCCCTGAGCACTTGAACGCTGATGATAATGACACTCCAACGGATGATATCCTTTGCACCATCATTGTCCAGCCTACTGTCGGCTATGTGGAAAATATTTCACCCGCTCCAGGCTCTGAAAAGTCCAGGTCAGGAACGGCTATCAGTGCTTTTACAATCAGAGACATCAGGGAGAGGAATATCTACTTTGTGCAGAGCATTCACAAAGGCGTAGAGCCAGTGGAAGACAGATTCACATTTAGGTGCTCTGATGGCATCAATTTCTCAGAGAACCATTTCTTACCAATTGTCATCATCCCTGCAAATGATGAAAAGCCTGAGATTTATTTGAGGGAGATAGTTGTGATGGAGGGCATGAACATTGTCATCGACACTCCGATTCTGAATGGGGCCGATGTGGATATTCCACCCGAGGAGCTGGTCTTCATCATTTCCAAACCTCCCAAACATGGTGCCATTTTAAACCAGCTGTCAACAGGGTCAGTTTTGGTGACTAATTTCACTTTAGAGCAGATTAGGGAGGCGTCAAGTATTATTTATGAGCACGATGACTCAGAGACAACAGAGGACAGCTTTGATATCACTCTGACTGATGGAAAGTACTCCGTGCAGAAGACAGCCACGGTAATGATAATTGCTGTGGATGACGAGACCCCCAGAATGCTTATCAACGACGGCCTGGAGGTTGAAATCGGGGAGGCCAAAGAGATCAACAGCAAAGTGCTCAAAGCAACCGATTTAGATTCATACGACAGTACTCTCACATTCATCATCAGGTTTGGGCCTGGGCAGGGCCTCCTGCAGAGGAAAATCCCATCTGGGTCTCTGGAGAACATCACGCTTGGCATGAATTTCACACAAGCTGAACTCGACGCAGGGCTTATTCTCTACACACACAATGGTCAGGAAGGCATTCGAGACTTGCTTAAGTTTGATGTCACAGATGGAATTAACCCACTTATTGATCGTTACTTCTACATCACTGTGGGGAGCATCGACATGGTGTTCCCTGATGTGGTCAGTAAAGGCGTGTCTCTGAGAGAAGGTGGCAGAGTGACTTTGACCACAGATCTACTCAGCACCACTGACCTCAACAGCCCCGATGAGAACTTAGTCTTCACCGTCACAAGGGCCCCCGTCAGAGGCCACCTGGAGTGTACAGATACTCCTGGGATGCCCATTGCATCTTTCACTCAGCTCCAGCTGGCTGGCAGTAAGGTTTACTACATCCACACGTCAGATGATGAGGTGAAAATGGACAGTTTTGAATTTGAAGTGACTGATGGCTTCAACCCTATTTTCAGAACATTCAGAGTCTCTATCGTGGATGTTGATAATAAGAAACCTGTTGTGACAGTTAATAATTTAGTTGTCACAGAAGGGCAAATTAAGCTGATTACACCATTCGAGCTCACAGCTGAGGACCAAGACACATCTGAGAAGCTGCTGAGATTCACCGTCACCCAGCTGCCTGTTCATGGCAAACTCCTCTACAACAAGTCCACACCCGTCACCGGCTTCACCAAACAAGACCTCAATGAAAACCTCATCAGCTACAAACATGACGGAACTGAATCCTCAGAGGACTCCTTCTCGTTTACAATCACCGATGGCACACACACAGACTTTTACATTTTCCCCGACACTGTGTTCGAGACTCGGCACCCTCAAACCATGAAAATCACCATTGTGGCCATCGACAACGGCGTCCCCCAGATCGTGGTGAATAAAGGTGCCCCCACTTTGAAGATTTTGTCCATTGGTCACCTGGGTTTCCCCCTCAGCTCCAAAGTACTGAGATCAGAGGACAGAGACAGCACCCCCGCCTCCCTGGTGTTCCACGTCACCACGCAGCCCAAACATGGATACATCATTAACCTGGGACAAGGGAACAACTCCATCAACACATTTAGTCAAGGTAAACAAACACCCACCAGTATTATAAAGTACAACCTTTGCATGAATATTGCATGTGGATTGCATAATCCAATTACAAGTTTTAGTACTGTGCATGAGTGATGTTCGTCATATAAATTAGATTTTCAAATGTAATTGTAAGTTCTGGTAAACAGAACAGAATTACCTTAAAGGTTATTCCTCTCTCAAAACGAATATGAAATAGCATTTATGTAATTTTGACATTTAAAAAAGGCCTTTTCCAACTCAAACATCTTTCATTCTTTTGAGTATCATAAGAGTGCTTATTTAACTTATTTGAATTTCAATCCAATAATTATATTCCCCTAAAGTGAAGTGATACTCACGTGATATTAAACTTCAGTAAGAAATACTTCACACAAAAATCATGTACGTTTCGATGAATGCTTCACACTGCCTACCAAATATTTTTAATTTATGGTGTAATAATTATTCATATGTATGACAAGTGCAGGCTTGGGATTCAATAGTTAATTTGAGGGCCTGATTTAGATGTGCCTTCCTCATCAAATCATAATTAGCAAAGTTAGAGGCTGATGTTTCGCAAAAATGTCTTGTAGACGGTTAGAGATGAATAATTTATTATTTCTGTCTCTGTGGGGAAATGTTCACATCTGATGTTCTCTACAGTGGTTTGTTAAATGAAGCAGGACAGAAGTAGAAGATCATGTGAAAAGGTCAGAGCATATCTTTTAGTGACAGGATGACATTTGAGTTTCAACACAGTCTCATCGTTTGACCAGGTCAGTTCAAGTTTGAAATCACTTATAGCAGTTGGTGAAACTTAAATATTCATATAAACCTGAAACCTCTCGACCAAATTGATTTCCGTGCACCACCAACATACATTCATATTCAGCGATATGCCACCTTAACTATGAATTTGAAAACCTTCATCTGCATGTCTGTTTATTGATAATGCTGACGGAATCAAGACAACAATGCCGCTGATTGAGGTTTAAAGCGATGCAATCATTGCAGTGGCTCACGCTGAGGCAATCATACAAACGAATAAGAAAATCCACCTGCTTGTATCAAAGCTTGGCATAAGCACAGACGGGGGCTGAAAACACAGAGTGAAAAAAGACCTCTTGAGTCTTTTGGGGATGGACCATTCTGCAAACCAATGTACGGCTGCAGTCTTTAAAAACGAAGGGCACCCATGAGACAAAGAGTTCGGCGAGAACGAGGAGCAAAAGGGCAGAAGAGGGGGCAGAGAGAGCAAGTAAAGTGGATGGGAGAGCAAAGGAGGCAGGAGGAAAGAGGGGAAGGGGGAGGTGTAGGTGGCATGAGAGAAATAAAGAATGAGGCAAGGGGCGTGAGAGAGTGAGTGCGAGAGAGCAAACAGGCTCGTCAGAGGAATCAGTCAGGTGAAAGAGACAATCCCTCGCTCTTTATTTACTCTTCCTATTTCCAGGGCACGTCCCATGAGGCTTTCTCTTTAAATATTTGATGAACAATGTGGCCCCGGTTCACAGTGTTGACTTCACATTTGCAAGGTCCTAAGGTTCAAGGCTGTGTCACAAAACTCAACAGAATACCCTTTTCTTGCCGCCCCCACAGTGCGATGACATTGAAAACAACATAATGCATACACGGAAAATAGTTATCCATTTTACAGAAGGGAATAAGGAGAGGCAGCTTTGACAGGAAGCCACCTAAGAGGTTTAAGATGCGCCCCAGCAAGGAGTCAGGGGTTTATACTTTTATGAACCTCCTCCCTCTGAAATATATTATTGAAGACGGTTGTTCGCAGAGGCCAAGCCCTTTCACAGTCTAGATGATTTTTCAGCACTATAATAGACGTTTCTGAAGAATGTTGGAGAAAAAGGAGTCAGAGAGTAACCCTGTAATTCGGAAAAGCCAACAAAGCAGCTGTGGAAGTGGAGGGGCCTGCTGCAATCCTGCTTTTAACATTCTTACCCAGATCTGTCATTAAACATCCACTGTCACCTGGTTTTTCCGCCGCTGTTGACAGAGAGCTGGCAGGTTCAGGATTTAATCGTTTTCTGTTGGTTTAGCTCGAGCTGTCTCACGTTTGAGGTTGCGGCCTTATCGTCCTGGGTTACAGATGCATGACTTTCAGAATGCTTTCTCTGTTGGAGAATTGTTCATGCTGAGTGCTGATAAGGAACATAATCAGTCTGATACTAGAAACCTGCTGTTACTGTAGCTGGTGTGCTGCTGAAGCGGGACAGCTTCCATCTTTTGAACAATTATTTGACAGAGCGAGTATTTGAACAAGCCACAAAGCAATAATTCAACTTCAAAGTGTGTTTGAGGCTATTTCTGTGTAGCCAGCGTGACACTTCACATGAAAGTTTTATTTTTAATCTTAAAATGCAAATTGTTTCATATATACATATTTGTTATCTTGACAAGGGCACTTGGATATACAATTTATAATTTGGACTTTGCTTTAAGTTTGGGCAAGGTTACACTTTGTATCATCTGTCAGTGACATAGTGTAGCTTCCAGTTTAAAATGCTAAATACGCTGACCTTCGTTTGCATGTCATTATTTACATCAAAACATTTTTTTTGTTTGCTTGTCATTTCCCTTCTTGTTTGTTTGTTGTTCTTCTTTGTCCGGTCACTGCTTTATAACCTGTTTTATAACCTGACACTCCAAAAAACTAAAGTCACTTTCCTGTTACAGCTGATATTGATGACCTGAAGATCTGCTATGTCTTACGGAATGAAGAAAATGTCACATCTGATGTCTTCCAGTTCTCCGTTGAGGATGACGGTAAGATTTTACAATTATTTTTCATTTGAATTCACCCACTTTGCTTCTGCACTGAGACTTTACATGGTAGGAGCAGAAAGGTCCGGAATTTTTTGCCAAATAACATTTTAACAAAATGTTGAAAGGTGCAAACTGGCTCAGGTGTTTAAACCTGTCATGTTTTTCATATGGTGAGGTCTCTCTAACCTTTAGACTCCTCTCTTCAGGTGACTCTTTATTTCTCCTCTTCTCTCCGAGTGTAGACACTTATTATCACGGTTCAGAGAATCTCACTTTCACAATTAAATAACAACTTTTAATGAGTCCAATTTTATAATTGGTTCCTGGAATTTTTCCAACAGTTCAGTAAAGAATATTTTGTATTCATAATGTTTTTTTATGAGTAATCACTGGACCAATGAAGCCTTTTCTATCAGCTTCAGATTCACAAGTTGACTGATATTTGCACCGACTTCCTTTCATTCACATTTTACTTATAAAGTGATCTACAATTCAGAGCATCAGTGCAGTTGGGGGTCACAAAATCAATCTTTCACAAATCTTAGAGCGACAGAAGCCCATTGTCTGTAACGTTGCTCTGCACATGATGCTGCATCATATAATATAACTGAAGAACTGATGAGGCTCACAGGTTTATTAAAGATCAAAGATAGGAAAGCATTTTTTTTAGGTGTCAAGATTTACACACATCACTCACTGTTTCATGATTTAACACGACTGCCGGTGTCATTTGTAAACATGGCTGAACAATATGTTGAGTAGCGTTACTGGAAAGGCTGATTTCTCCAAAAACATTTAGTAAAATATTAAAGATTTGGAAAGGAAGTGTTTTGTTGATCAGACCAAACTCTACCTTCAAATAGTATTTCAACAATTTGTCTACAGAGGGTTAGGACAACTCTAACATACAGTAGTGCAATGAGCACTTTCAGTAAGGAAAACAAATACCAACGTGCTAATTTGAGTTGCATAATGTCCGTGATTCACTTCCTGATTTATGCCTATAAAAAGGCCTCTTTAAATTCTATACATTTTGTTCTATATGTTCCCTTTTGCAATTTGCATGAAATTACAGTCGATTTACTCAGACGACAAACAATTAGGCAATCAGCAACCAGACCGGGAATGTCTAGATTTCATTTTAAAAGAATAGAATAAGCACAATTAATCTTTATATAGAACCTTCACATTGTGGTTAAGGTCGAATAATCATCAACTTATGGGCTTAGATTGTATCGGCTTCTGCCTTACTCAATAATTGAGTAGTGCGACAACCCAAAATCAAATGTTCTCTCCGTATTGCACAAGAACTATTTTTCTCTTTTTACATGTATAGGTCCAACGTGTAAGTGAACTAATGGTTTTGTGAATAAGGTTTAGACAAATTGTTCCTTCTGTGATGATTATGCACTTAGGGGAAAATGCTAATCGTAGAAGAACTCCCGCTCAGTTATGCACTTGAAAGGAGAAACATTGACTAATTGATTGCCTATGCTTCCGTAAAGTTCTTTTTTTCCTTCTATTTCCTCTGCTCTTTGCTTAAATAAAAAAGACCCACAGCTTTTTAAATGAACACTGAAGTACATGAGTCAATCAATGCGAACAGAATAGTGGATCCACTTGGACTTATTTTTCTCGCAGGAGAGTCGGTTTTAAAGATTTAGATTATAGAATTTGCAAAGGAAGGTTTAAACAACACATCATTAACATTTGATTAAAATGCAGATGTTGTGAATCACAGCAGCACATACAGCAAAGTGCTCTAAGTGTAAATGGACCCTTCTGTGTCTACAAGCCTTTGACTGGAAGTGAGCATTATATGTTACACTTAAATTCATGTAAGCAGGTTCATCAGAATCGGAATCAGAAATCCTTTATTAGTCCCACAGTGGGCACATTTACATTGTTACAGCAAAGGTATGCAATGATACAGAATATATTAATATATAGAAGAAAAGCACAAATTAGTTATTCTAGAATAAAAATAAAGACAAATAAGTAGGTAAGTACACATCCATGCATGGCTAAAAATGATGAGCAACTTCAGAACTTTTTGACATATGTAAAGTAAGGTAAGGGACATTATACAAATGTGTAAAGAAATCCACATATTGCTCAGTATTTCAGAAAAGTCTCAATATTGCACATTGCCTTTTTATTGCACAAGATCTCAATAGTCTGTATTGTGTGTGTATGTGTGTGTGGGGGGGAGGGTCTACCAGGGGCTGTGGTGGTTGTCAGTCTGACCACTGCAGGAAGGAAGGACCTGCGGTATCTCTCCGTGAGACACCACAGGTGAAGCAGCCTGTCGCATCTATATATATAAATACATATGATAAAGATGTGTTAAAGCCAGATGTATGCTGGAACACACTCACGCAAACAATCCCACACATGCATGCACAGCAGAGCTCTGAGGGGAAGCCGTAGGCTAAGGGGCGGTCATGCCTCCAGCACAAAGAGGTGTTTGATATTTAAGAGCCCAGCCAGCATTGTGGGTAATGAGAGCCTGGGGCGTCTGAGCTGGGCAGAGCTCCAAGGCAGCCACTGGTAATTACATGGCCCAATTACAAGCCCATCTAAGGCAGGAAGCTCCTTCTGTCACAGGTTAAGGCTCTCCGACATCACAATAGTTAGCTGTAATGGACTGCAACGTGGCTTGTTTCCAAGACTACTCTTCGACCGTGGGATGTTCAGATCACAGAGAAAATGTCAGAAGTCAACCTGATTAGAATGAGGAACATATGAACAATTTTGATAAAAAAATACTTAATTAAGTGAGGCCTGCTCTTCATCCTAATATTTACTGTTGGTAGATCTGACAATGTCAAAATTGTGTTCTTAAACAAATAAAACAAAGAAAGAAAGTAAATAATTTGATTCGAAAAGCTGGAACTGGAGAATGTTTGATATGTTTTACTAGTAAATAAACAAATTCAACAAACGATCAATCATCCCAATAGTTATCACAAAAAGGTGGCCATTGATTGTTCGAAATGAACGGACTTTGCAGATGTAATTGTTTAGTTCCTCAGAGAATCAGTTCATAAAAACGACATAAACAAACATTTTCACACTACCCTCTAGTATTACAGGTAGCTTTAGTTATGTTTGTCCAAATGTTGAGATATCTATTTAAAGGGCAATAAGACTGCTACTTATACAGCTAGAGGTATATTTTAGAACTGAATTCTCTTTTTCATAGTTACAATGGAAGAGATGCTTTATGTATTCTCACACAGAAAGATGTTTTCTGAGAACGAAGTACCTGCTGAATAAGATCAGCGTGCCTCTTCTCGACCTCTGCTCATCCTGGCAATTCTTCCTGTACGTTTCTTCTCCCACTGCAAACGAGGTTGACTCCTACAATAGATTCCTTTCATCCCCCTTCACCCCTCCTCGCACGTGAGCAACCCCGGCATACCACTGCTTTAACTAGAGTTACAATACATCCCCTTAAAAGATCCCCTGCAGCTCCTGTATCCCTATTTGTTTCCACCTTTCACGCGGCACACGGTATATACATTTGTTGGGCTTGCAAATATGTGTTGAATATAAAAAAACACTTTGCATAAAATGTCACTCACTTGTCGGTGGATCGCCGCATACTACGCTGCAAGGGCACTTTATTTCCAGTTTAGTTGTGCATGATGCCTTGCTGTTGATCTGTAATGTCACTGTGACTTTTTTCTCCTCTCTTTAAAAGTGCTTTTCCCACCCATGAAAGCAGTGGCAACACTTCAGATGACATGACCTCCTCATGCCGCCCTCTTCTCTGCTTGAATGATAAGCGTAGCAAATTATTTATAAGCATGCGGACCCTCTTTTTCCGATAGATGAAAGAAATCAGTCACTGAAAAAAGAAATAAATGAGTCCATTTCAAACTGCTTCCATAATTACTTTAAAACGTTAACTCAACAACTGAATGACAGAGTCTTATTACGAGTTGGCTCAGAAGTTTGAAGTCACCCACGAACACACCGAATGTGAACGGGATAATCTGGTTTTAGATTGCTGGATTTCATGGAATTAAAAAAAAGCTCGATTTAATTCATTTCCATTGAACCTTTCCTCAATCCTCTTGAAAGCATCTCACCTGTCTGGAAGGTGAAAGAATGGAAAACACACACAGGCACAGGCTTTAACTGTCGTCACGGCCACACATGGAGGTTAATCCCCTGACCTTTTTTATTGTTGTCAACCTGTCCAGCAAAGTTTAGTTATCAGGGCAGAAATGCAAGGTAATACATCAGCATGCGGCACAGACTTACACACACTAACACGTCCCCTGGCTTTAGGGGAGGATTCTCTTTATCTGTATGCGTTCAGGAATTTACTGTCACTCACTTCTCCAGAGGCCGAACTCTCCTATTTTCATCCTCTTCATCTCTCCTTTCTCACACTCGTAGTCTTAGATCTCGTTGGTTGTCTCCTATTATTTTACTCCTATAAACACCCTTTTGTCATTATATATTTGATTCTCTAGTGTCATTGTGGTCTGTCTCGCTGCCTATCAATGTCCTCTTTTTTCTCTCGACGCACAGTATTTTGCCATCCTGTCTCGCTGAGTTTAATCTCAAAGTATGCTTCAGTTTATTATGCCGAGTTTCGACTCTGTCTCAGGCATCAGGATTTGGTTTTACTGTCACACCCTTGCTGTTTTTTCCCGCTGCCTGTTCCCGCCTGCCGTGTTTGTCTGTCAGCCTTGGCGCTGATGGATCTCTCTGTTGTCGGATTACAGCACATTCTGCAGTTGCGAATGTCGCGCGCGATGATCTGCATCTCATTAGAGCGTTGAAATGAGACTGTGAGACTTGTTGAGGAGATTTTTTCGTCATGCTAATCGTCTTTGATTCTATGTCTCTATGCTTGACAGCCGACGCTCACCGTGTAAACACACAAGCATGACCAAACACCATCTAATCTCTAGAATAAACAAAAAGCTGCATATTTTTTACACTTATTCTTCAACTGAAATGTTCTCATTTACATTTTTACT